TGTTACCTCTTCATTGGTCGACATTTTATTCCATAACGTTACACAGTTTTGATGCTGTTTTATGTCTGATGATCGTGTTAGATTACATGTGGAAGCATCTGTTGTTTCGGTTTCTTCTTCACTTGTGTTTTTTGGAAATTCTGTACAGAAGATGTGTAATAGCACCCCCTACAGTATAACAATGAAAACAAGGATTCTAGGAGCACAAGCATAGCTAAAATATATTTAGACTTTTTCTAAGTCAAGTATACTTAAATGTCATTTTAAAGGGGTCATATGATGCTGCTAAAAAGAACATTATTTTGTGTATTTGGTGTAATGAAATGTGTTTATGTGGTTTAAAGTTAAAAAAACACACTATTTTCCACAAACTGTACATTATTGTTTCTCCTCTATGCCCCGCCTTTCTGAAACGCGTCGATTTTTACAAAGTCTGAAAAAGCGAGGTGTGCTGTGATTGGCCAGCTATCCAGTGCATTGTGATTGGCCGAATACCTCAAGCGTGAGACGGAAATGTTACGCCCCTCACCATACTGTGATGATGCCCTGTCAGGCCAGAGCGACGAGACATAAACATTAAAACCCATTATAAACGAGGCATTTGTTGCATCCAGTGGGGACATAATTACTGATTATAATGACTTATACTGTCTTTTTACGCGTTGTGTTGCATTGCGTTGCATCGCGCCACGTAAACATAAAACTCTGTCTGCATTTGTGATCAGAGAAATGACAAACAACAAGTGCTACTCTTCTGCCCAAAACTCACGTTTGAATCATCAGTGGCAACGAAAAACACAGCGGCCTAGCGTGAGGGGAAGCCCCGGCTTAGCGTGCGCTGAGGCCGGGATAGAGTGAGCTGAGGTGGACTGGACTCCGCTTCATCCACGGTGAAAGTTGATGTATTCCCTCAGCGACCAGCACAGATCAGCTCCAGGCATGACGAAGCAGATATCGTCCTCTTTTGGAAGACCAAACAAAGTAGTTTTGCTTTCACAACGAAACACACAGCGTCTTCACGACATGGCAACAGCGTCAACAATACTACAGCGAGAATAAAAGTTACGCCTTCTTTCTTTGTGTGAACATTTGGGCGGCGTTATGCAAATCTTCCCAGATCGTGACGTAGATACGTATGTGGGGACGTGTTAGAACGAGCCGTTTTAGGTAGGCGTGGACAAGTCTTAACTTTGATAAAGAATATCTCTTTGGTTTTGAGACTTTAGTCTTTGCAACTTTACAGATCTTCTTTATGCACTAAGAGCTTGTAACACTCCAAAGAGAAAGGAAATATTGAAATCGCATCATATGACCCCTTTAAGTATATTTCTGAGAAGTACATAAAGCCCATTTCTGAGTTATACATTAAAAGTATACTAAAAGTATACTTTCCTATTTTAAGTTTAAAATAAGTATACTAATAGCACACTTGAATAAACTTCTTTTTCGCAAGGGTATGTATTGAATTTCCAAAAGGTGGTTCATCAGTTTTATATTTTAACACTAATATTAACAGATGGTGTTACAAACTCAGAAAAAAGGGTACAAAATCTGTCAGTGGGCCAGTACCTCTTCAAAACATACTAATGTGTAAAATTTAGGTACTAATATGTACTTTTAAAGTGCTAATTTTTAACGTTGAGGTACTAATAAGCACCATTTAGGGGTAACTAAAGTACAGAAGTGCACCATTTGAAAAGATACCACTGCAGTAACAGCTTTTGTACCTTTTTTTCTGAGAGTGATATAGGACAGTTTTATGTGCCTTATTGCTTTTGTAAAACAGTTACTACAAAATAAATCTCTCAGGCTCAAGCTGCATTTATTTTATCAAAAATACAGTAATACTGTGAAATATTATTTCAATTTAAAATGACCATTTTCTATTGTAATATATTATCAAATGTAATTTATTTCTGGGATGCAAAGCTGAATTACTCCAACATTTCTCCAGTCTTCAGTGTCACAAGATCTTTCAGAAATCATTCCAATGTGCTGATTTGCTGCTCAAGAAACATTTATTATTATTGCTTAATAGCATTTAAATATATATATATATATATATATATACAGTATATATATATCACCACTCAGAAAGACATGAACTGGTTTATAGTAACAGTCACATTTTGGATTAATCATCATGCATGAGAGGACGAAAGCAAAGTCAGCACTGTAATGAAAATGTATAGTGGGTATTGGTTTTCTACTGGGTCGATATGTGTCGGATTCCAGCTTCTCGTTAACACGGTTGAGATTACAGTGGGGTGAATGTGCTAAACTGCCAACCGAACTATGTGATAACCTGAGCCCAGCAATAAATTGCTGGATTAAGCATCCAGGACTGAAGCGAAGGTGAATATGTACAGTACGTCTTAGGCCGATGTGACAGAGATATACAGTATATGAGGCCTGATAAAGTGCTGTGAATAAATTCCATTAACCCCACGCGTGGTGTAATCTGAGACCGGGATCGATAGATGGAATACTAAACAGAACAGTGAATCCAGAAAGAAATCAATACAAACCACTTCCAGGCTGTTTAGCATCAAACTGCTGAAAATATACTGCTAAACGCTCACACTGAGATTACAGTCATGTCATTAAAACAAAGTTAAATGTCAGAGCGCTCAACCAACCTATGACAAGAGACAGTCCAAGATGGGGATCCCGCACTAAACTAACTGTGATTACAAACTGTGGTACGCAGAGTGACATCAGATATAGCGGTCAGGTGTGATTTTGGTCATGTCTTTTATTTTGTAATTTCCTGTAGCCATGTTTCTTCCTTGCCCTCATGTGTTCCTTACTCCATGTGTCATGGTCCCATTGGTTCATTGTCATGTCATGTGATTAATCATATTCTCTGCACAACTCTGTATACATTGGATTGATTTGAATAACTTTAATGTACTTGAAGTGTGCACCAAACATACATTCTTATAGGAATATTCAAGTATCGGATCGGAACTCGGTATCGGCAGATATTCAGTATTCAATGACTTGGATCAGATCGGGGGCACAAAAATCCTGATCGGGACATCCCTAGAGGTTATCAGTTCTGTTTGTTCATTGGTTCCTGTTCTTTAGTTCTGTCTTGTCATTGGTTGCTTTCTATCAAGTGCTCCCAATGGTCTGTGATATTGGCACAGATTCTGTGTAATCAACCATTCTTTGTGACTCTATATAGTTCTGAAGTTGGAAAATACAACTTTAGTTCAATCATGACAACTCTCGGAAGATTTTAGCATGGTGATGGATATGACAATGTTAATGTATTTGGTCTTGGCGGAACAGATCTGCTACACTGCTGCTGCATTGCTGCTGCTGCATTGCTGCTGCTGCTGGTTATTGCTGTAGTTGAAGATTATTGCTGCTGCTGCAAGCAAGTACAGGAACTTGCTACTGCCAATGCATACGGCGATACGGTGCCGTGAGTATTTAAGACATACTGCTGCTGCACAAATAGCATATAAAATAACTCGTAGCAGATCTATACAGGTGGAGCAGGGGAAGGTGAAGGGTTTCAGAGAAACTCTGAAAGCGTGCTGCAGGAATCTCTAGTGAATGCTTATCACCACTCAGAAAGACATGAACTGGTTTATAGTAACAGTCACATTTTGGATTAATCATCATGCATGAGAGGACGAAAGCAAAGTCAGCACTGTAATGAAAATGTATAGTGGGTATTGGTTTTCTACTGGGTCGATATGTGTCGGATTCCAGCTTCTCGTTAACACGGTTGAGATTACAGTGGGGTGAATGTGCTAAACTGCCAACCGAACTATGTGATAACCTGAGCCCAGCAATAAATTGCTGGATTAAGCATCCAGGACTGAAGCGAAGGTGAATATGTACAGTACGTCTTAGGCCGATGTGACAGAGATATACAGTATATGAGGCCTGATAAAGTGCTGTGAATAAATTCCATTAACCCCACGCGTGGTGTAATCTGAGACCGGGATCGATAGATGGAATACTAAACAGAACAGTGAATCCAGAAAGAAATCAATACAAACCACTTCCAGGCTGTTTAGCATCAAACTGCTGAAAATATACTGCTAAACGCTCACACTGAGATTACAGTCATGTCATTAAAACAAAGTTAAATGTCAGAGCGCTCAACCAACCTATGACAAGAGACAGTCCAAGATGGGGATCCCGCACTAAACTAACTGTGATTACAAACTGTGGTACGCAGAGTGACATCAGATATAGCGGTCAGGTGTGATTTTGGTCATGTCTTTTATTTTGTAATTTCCTGTAGCCATGTTTCTTCCTTGCCCTCATGTGTTCCTTACTCCATGTGTCATGGTCCCATTGGTTCATTGTCATGTCATGTGATTAATCATATTCTCTGCACAACTCTGTATACATTGGATTGATTTGAATAACTTTAATGTACTTGAAGTGTGCACCAAACATACATTCTTATAAGAATATTCAAGTATCGGATCGGAACTCGGTATCGGCAGATACTCAGTATTCAATGACTTGGATCAGATCGGGGGCACAAAAATCCTGATCGGGACATCCCTAGAGGTTATCAGTTCTGTTTGTTCATTGGTTCCTGTTCTTTAGTTCTGTCTTGTCATTGGTTGCTTTCTATCAAGTGCTCCCAATGGTCTGTGATAGTGCAGCATGAACCAATCAGCTTGTGCCAAGTCGTTTAACTCTCTGAATATCATCAGTTACGTTAACAACCCATCAGCCTGCGCCATCTAGAGTTTCATGACTAAACTATATATTTCCCAGGACATCTACAAGATGGATTAAAATGCTGATGCTGTAAAATTATGGGAGACATAAACACATGAGAGTATGACTGAAACGTTAAAAGTGTTTAAAAGAAAGAAAGAAAGCACAATTTATTCTGTGGCACTTAAAAAAATAATTAAGCGCCTAGTTTTGTTTCTTATAGGAGCCAATGGCTCCTTAAGTGATTTTTTTTGTCTGGAGCCCTGCCCTGTAAATCAATGTTAGTCCATGTGATTTTTTGCCAATTTTATTCTCCAGATGCAAAAAATAGTAATAGCACAAATCTCCTCATTATGACTCAAAATTTGTGGTATAATTCATGCGAAGAGTGCAAACGGTGCTGGATGAGTTATGCAAGAAGTCTCTAAGGTCTTTTCAAATGCAAGTATATGAATAATAATTCAGAAATCATTCTGTGAGATTTGAGTAACAGAAAAGGTCAGCCGTTGCTCAACCTCTCAGTATAGTGAAAAGTCTGCACTCCAACACTTCTGGGTAGAATAGTGTGTGAATCACAGACAGGCGTGTGCACGTGTGTGTGAAACACAGTCACATGTCCAGTATAAGTAAAGGCACACACATCCTTTTCAAGTGTGTGTGAACATGCAGAGAGGAACAGACTTCAGTGAGAACAGCACACAATGATTCTCCCTGTTCTCAAACAAAATTTCAACCCACTTTCAATCAACTTTCAGGCTAGCATGGGTCGTGACCCATGGGTTGTGTTAACCAATCCCACACACACACACACACACAGCTAGACATCCAACAACACTTTAGTTTCATACCCATCATATAATATGCATAACTTCACAAGCAACAAGAAATATTTAATAGTTTTAAACCAGTAGTTCTCAACTTTTTTTAAATTTTTTTTACTCCTAGTCATTTGTGATTTATTGGATAACATGGCAGGTGGCTGCCTCACACAAAAAGTTATTTCAATTTAAATTCAAAATCAAAATCACTTTTAATTAGACTATTCAGTGAAATAGTGATGTTTGTCATAATTGTGCAGTCCTGATAGACAGTGCTGCTCATGAAATTCTCATGAATACTCTATGTTGGGCACTACAACTAAAGTCTGATTAAAATCAGGACAGAAATATGGGTGAGGAAGTGTGCTGTAGGCTATGTAATCATAATTCATGAGTTAATCAATGGCCATGATGTATATGTTTACTCACCAGCAATGGAAAAGTGCACACAGAGAAAAGAAGACAGAAGCACATGTAAAACTAGATTTAAAGCATGACACACAAACAGAATGACAGGCACAGGACTCTGAATAAAGGCCCCTTCACACCAAGAACCATAACTATAACGATAACTATATTAGTGCCCACACCAATGGACGTTCTGTCTATTATAGTCCTTGTCATGCTTAAGCTTTTTAAAGGATTCTAATTGGCTGTCAGTGTTTTTAGAGTACACCAGCGGGAAAGTGATTCCAATGATACTGTTCCTCTGTGACCTTATCGTTATATTTGTAGTGTGGACGTCTCTGTTCTCATAGATTTAGAACAATTATTAAAACGTTATGCTTATAGGTATCATTCTAATTATCATACTTGGTGCGAACAGGCCTTAAATCTGTACTGGCAAAACAAAGCCACTTTGATATCTGCATGAAAACAGTGGGTGACCATATGTCCTCTTTTGTCCTGGACATGCCCTGGCCAGGATTTCTAAATTGCCTAAAATGTCCACGTTTTGGCTTTGTTTTCCTATTGTTTTCATACTTGATGAAGGTAATGACCGAAAAGTATTTTGACCAATAGTGTGCAGGCACTGTACATAATCGACCAGTCATGGCATACGGGAAGGCGGGATCCACAGAGAATGGTCAAAGCAATGCAAATACACTCACACATAATGTATGAGGACTGCAGAGAAACTGTCAATAGGAAAACAAAAACAAAACCTGGACATTTTAGGCAATTTAGAAATCCTGTCTAGGACACATGGTCACCCTATTTCTTTATTCTTTATGAATCATTTAAATTAATTTTCAGCTATTTAATATAGTAGAATGAAGAATAGGGACATGGGAATGTTAATACAGGACAATGACAGTGAATTTACCAAGGCTCTCAAATGAATGTAAGATAACATAAGATTGTGTTTATAACATCCTCATGATGTAATGTACAGCCTAATGAAAACTTGAATGGTTTTAAGTCATAGTGGGTAAATGTATTATGAATCACATGACTAAAATGAATGAGAGTTTAAAAAGATCATGTCTCTTACCTCTCTTTGCACTCCAATCACATAAAACGTTTTCCCTTCAAACTTAAACTTGCTGACATCTGCCCTGCAAGAGTGAGGCATACAAACGAAATGTTACAAGTGAGGCGGTCAATGCAAAAGCTTCATGTCAACAGTCATTCTAATGCTATTAGAGAGAAACTCTTCAAAAGCACTTATCTGCTTGTTGACTGTGGGCTGGTGTTAACAGCCGTACAAAACCTCAGTCATGTCACAGATCATGAGCACCCACAGACCACTCACCGACCAGCTGATCGCCCGGCCTTACATAATATGTGTGTTCAGCTTGAAGCAGCGCTGTACAGACCGATCGGTGGATGACATCAAAGTACCGTGAGAGCGATTCAAAAGCATAAGGAGCCATCTGCTTCTAACACACCTAATGTCTGTGAGTCACAGCACACAGGCTTTAAAGGAATAGTTCACCCAAAAATGACAATTGCCCCATGATTTACTCACCCTCAAGCCATCCTAGGTGTTTATGACTTTCTTCTTTCAGACGAATCCAATCGGAGTTATATTTAAAACGGTCCTGGCTCTTCCAAACTTTATAATGGCAGTGAATGGGCGTTGAGATTTTGAAGCCCAATAAACTGCATCCATCCATCATAAAAGTGCTCTACGCGGCTCCTGGGGGTTAATAAAGGCCTTCTGAATCGAATCGATCTGTTTTTGTAAGAAAATATCCATATTTAATTGAAACTTAACCATAATATCTAGCTTCCGCCAACTGTTGTACACGTTGCTGTAAACAAAACTTGGTTCTTGCGAGACTAGCATATTCTTACCGATTCTCACTCGTCCTACGCCATCCGCTGGAATGCCACTTAGCGGAAGCTAGAGATTACAGTTTATAAAGTTTTAAATAATTTTCTTACAAAAATGCATCGATTCGCTTCAGAAGGCCTTTATCCCATCCATTGCTATGGGTATCACTGTGTCAATCACTGCTATTTCGAGAGTGATTCCAGCTTAAATATGTAGATGTCATTCCCGAAACTTTGCAGCGTGTATGTGTCCGAAAAACAAAAGTTTCATACAAATTCTGAATGGATTATAGCCTAGAAAGTGCACAAAACACGCTCCCTACATTATCACTAAAAAGCGCCACTCATCTTAGTTCATCACGATTTCACAAAGTTCTGTTATAATCAATGAAGCTCTCTAAACTGCACAATGAATCTCTTATTTACATTTCGTCTGCACTCAGTTGAGAGATGATTCACGAGCGTGCAAAACTGCACGTAATTAAAAATCTGGCGCTTTTAGCGGTCAGTGAATTCTGACAAACTAAAACGTTTCTGATTGGTCAAGAAATCAACCGATATGTCTGTGATTGGCTACATTGCTCAACACTGCAAAAACACGTTGTAAATAGTAACCTTTGAAGCTGTCCAGAGGCAAACGCAAATACACACTGGATAGTTTGCTAGATCTTTAATTGCTTTTGCTTTCTTTTGTGGGTATTTAGCACCCTCTAGTACCCCCGTAGAACCGGGTCTGGTTATCGTCCATCGTGGCCTTAAGAACAGGCCTTAATTGGACCTTTTTTTCAGAATAAGCTGCAAAGCGGACACTTATGGTGAGGTCACTTTTACTGTTGTTCACCAATTTGTTGCATACAAAATTCAGTCATTTCAATAAGAATCCATACAACCTAGATTTTTGCATTAGACTGAAAGATTTCCCAATGCAGATTTCGCAGCAGGTTCAAGGTGGTCATGGATTTGCATTTTGACCAACAGAATCTGCTTGGTTTGAAAGTGACTTCATACTTTGCAACACTTTTGACAACAGACAATGAGCTTTTTTTGCCAGTGAAATTTCTCTGAAATATTGCTAATGTGACCACACTTTTACACTAAACCACACTGAGTAGGGTGAGGTAGTGATGGCAAGTGAATCTGAGGAAGAGTGAAGATATTTCAAAGTGATAAGAGAGTTACCATTTTAAAAGGTGGATCCGCTTATTTCCCTGGAAAACCACAAACCCTCTTGCAGTGAATCCCAGGAAGGCTGTGGATCCTGTGAAATCCTGAAATGAATTAGACTAGATCAGATTCAGATTCATGGTGTTTCAGCTACAGTAGTTTTTTGCGTTCCACTGCGTTGCTTTTTTCAGATAAATTTGCTATTTGGACGTCTTTGATCATTGAGAAGTGTTTTTTTCAGCAACTCACACATGAGTGCTGCGTATTTCAGATGCATGTTGAGTTAAAAGAAGTTCAACTACTTTAACAGATACATGTATGTTGTAGTTTTTTTGAGGCGAGTCAGTACCTTGCAGGGATGTGGGTCGACTCCATATGTGTCCAGTGTGTTAGCCCTCTGAAGAAGATTTAACTCAGCGAGAGAAGGACACTGACCCCTACAGAAACAAACAACACAATCTTACAACAAGATCTACAACTAGTACATCTGCTGAAAATTCAGTTTGACATTTTTACTGTATTTTTGATCAAATAAATGCAGCCTCAGTGAGACTTCTTTCAGAAATATAAAAAAAAATTACCGTTTCCAAACTTTCGAACGGTAGTGTACAATTAAATTTAGTTCTACGGTGGGCATGTGGCTTAAATTTGGTGTTTTTTCCTCTCACCTTAGCTCATTCTGGTGGATCTCCACGATCTTGCGCTCTAGTTTGAGGGACTGTTTGGGGAAGAGCTTGAAGTCGCTGATGTAGTCTGCAGGATGTTCCTCAGAATCGTAGTCCCCAAGCTCAGCTAAAAAAAGACAAACAGCTTTAAAACTCATCAAACGACCATATGAAACGCTGATGAGCCCATGTATCTGCAACAAGAGACTTTCATCAGTTTCTGATCTAAATGAGGTTCATTTCCATCAGAAATTCTCTTTGCTGTTTATTTTATGAGCAGGGAAAAGCGGAAAGAGGTTTAAAATATGGCTGTTAATTAGTTAAAAAGCTTCCAGAAGAAAATGTCTCAGAAACACCTTGTTACTGGTGCTGACAGGGTCTGATGTCAAATAGTACTCAAGCTTTGGTTGCATAACTAAATGCAACCAAATGGAAAGTGTGATTGGTTGTAAAAGCTGCCTGTAGATGAGATTGTATTCTTACCCTGTACAATACAGGCTCCAAGATACGCAGCATCAGCGAAGGGACACAACAGCCTACCGTGGTACACGTCTCTCTTCAACTGCAGGTACAGAAGATACCTGACAATAGAAACAATAGTAGAGGGGACATTTCCAAAGAGTGGTAGTGTTATTTTGACATGAAACATTCACCACAGGTGCTCTCTCTTTACATTAACAGTACAAGCCAAAGGGTCAAATTTCAATTGTTTTGTTAAATCCAACCTCAGATTTTGGGTTCAGGCTTTTCACATGACCCTTTAAATATGGCCCATATCAGAGACTGGTCTGAATAAACTAAATTAACACCTATGTGTAAGACACCCTATCCCAATATGTTTATTATAATATCTTCTAATATCGTCAACAAATTTCATAATACATTTTAATATGATATCACATTTTGATTATTCCTATCTTAAATGTAAGCATTATTATTTTAACTTTCACTTTTTAGTTTTACTGTTCAAAGCAGGTGTCACAACATTTGAGATCTAATGTACATCAATCTATGTTTCAATTTGACTGTTGTTCACCAAACTGTTGCATACAAAATCCAGTTATTTCAATAGGAATCCACAAAACCAACCAAATTTTGTGCCAGGTGAAAATATTTCCCTATGGTGATTTCGCAGCATGTTCAAGGATTTTACGGATTCGTTGCATTGACCAACATAAAGCTGATTGGTTTAAAAGTGACTTTTGTTTGAGCTGTGCTTGCTACACTAATGACAACCAACAGTCAGCCTTTTTTGTCTGTGAAAACTACACAGAGTAAGGTAAGGTAGTGATGGCAAGTGAATCTGAGGAAGAGTGAAGATATTTCAAAGTGATAAGAGAGTTACCATTTTAAAAGGTGGATCCGCTTATTTCCCTGGAAAACCACAAACCCTCTTGCAGTGAATCCCAGGAAGGCTGTGGATCCTGTGAAATCCTGAAATGAATTAGACTAGATCAGATTCAGATTCATGGTGTTTCAGCTACAGTAGTTTTTTGCGTTCCACTGCGTTGCTTTTTTCAGATAAATTTGCTATTTGGACGTCTTTGATCATTGAGAAGTGTTTTTTTCAGCAACTCACACATGAGTGCTGCGTATTTCAGATGCATGTTGAGTTAAAAGAAGTTCAACTACTTTAACAGATACATGTATGTTGTCGTTTTTTTTAGGCGAGTCAGTACCTTGCAGGGATGTGGGTCGACTCCATATGTGTCCAGTGTGTTAGCCCTCTGAAGAAGATTTAACTCAGCGAGAGAAGGACACTGACCCCTACAGAAACAAACAACACAATCTTACAACAAGATCTACAACTAGTACATCTGCTGAAAATTCAGTTTGACATTTTTACTGTATTTTTGATCAAATAAATGCAGCCTCAGTGAGACTTCTTTCAGAAATATAAAAAAAAATTACCGTTTCCAAACTTTCGAACGGTAGTGTACAATTAAATTTAGTTCTACGGTGGGCATGTGGCTTAAATTTGGTGTTTTTTCCTCTCACCTTAGCTCATTCTGGTGGATCTCCACGATCTTGCGCTCTAGTTTGAGGGACTGTTTGGGGAAGAGCTTGAAGTCGCTGATGTAGTCTGCAGGATGTTCCTCAGAATCGTAGTCCCCAAGCTCAGCTAAAAAAAGACAAACAGCTTTAAAACTCATCAAACGACCATATGAAACGCTGATGAGCCCATGTATCTGCAACAAGAGACTTTCATCAGTTTCTGATCTAAATGAGGTTCATTTCCATCAGAAATTCTCTTTGCTGTTTATTTTATGAGCAGGGAAAAGCGGAAAGAGGTTTAAAATATGGCTGTTAATTAGTTAAAAAGCTTCCAGAAGAAAATGTCTCAGAAACACCTTGTTACTGGTGCTGACAGGGTCTGATGTCAAATAGTACTCAAGCTTTGGTTGCATAACTAAATGCAACCAAATGGAAAGTGTGATTGGTTGTAAAAGCTGCCTGTAGATGAGATTGTATTCTTACCCTGTACAATACAGGCTCCAAGATACGCAGCATCAGCGAATGGACATAACAGCCTACCGTGGTACACGTCTCTCTTCAACTGCAGGTACAGAAGATACCTGACAATAGAAACAATAGTAGAGGGGACATTTCCAAAGAGTGGTAGTGTTATTTTGACATGAAACATTCACCACAGGTGCTCTCTCTTTACATTAACAGTACAAGCCAAAGGGTCAAATTTCAATTGTTTTGTTAAATCCAACCTCAGATTTTGGGTTCAGGCTTTTCACATGACCCTTTAAATATGGCCCATATCAGAGACTGGTCTGAATAAACTAAATTAACACCTATGTGTAAGACACCCTATCCCAATATGTTTATTATAATATCTTCTAATATCGTCAACAAATTTCATAATACATTTTAATATGATATCACATTTTGATTATTCCTATCTTAAATGTAAGCATTATTATTTTAACTTTCACTTTTTAGTTTTACTGTTCAAAGCAGGTGTCACAACATTTGAGATCTAATGTACATCAATCTATGTTTCAAATTTATATATATATATACAGTATATATAGAGTGCAATTCATTCCATTCCAATATGGAATTCATTCAATCCATTTATTTTATGATTACAAAATTCTAAAATTATTTTATGATTATTACACTTCAAAAACTGGTAACCTGCGACTGCTACTTTAAAGAGATACTTCTAAATATAATATAAATTAATATACTTTATGATATTGGTTGTATAAATTGATGTATTTAGATTGATTACCATTTTTTTTTTACTTAAATCCAGTTAACTGAGAGGTTACCATTTTTAGGTCACCTTTTTTTTTTTAATTATACACACTTATGGTGAATGTTGAATTAGACTGACTTAAAATCGCCTGAATTCCAATCCATCTCTAGACATGTGTCTGGTTTAGAATTGAACAGAACTGAGTTTCCGTTTCATGGGAACTTCGAACTGCGTCCTCTAGGGGTCGCTATGGGGGACGCCTCGTCGTGACCCGTGTCTGAAGCATACATTGAAAAAACACCAACTCGTTGGCCGGCGACAGCCGTGACGTCACTACTGGTGCTCTGGCTTGCATTCCCCTCAGCATGGTGGCGTGGGTATACCGTTCCCCATAGCGACCCCTAGAGGACGCAGTTCGAAGTTCCCATGAAAGGGAACGTCTCGGGTTACTTATGTAACCATGGTTCCCTGAGTAGGGAACGAGACACTGCGTCCTCTAGGTTTCTTGCCATGCTGCGGACGCAAGCTTCAGACGAAGAAGTGAATGATGTGTAGCTCCCGGCACCGATTTATACTGTAGTCGCACCGGTAGTGACGTCATGGCTGTCGCCGGCCAACGAGTTGGTGTTTTTTCAATGTATGCTTCAGACACGGGTTACGACGAGGCGTCCCCCATAGCGACCCCTAGAGGACGCAGTGTCTCGTTCCCTACTCAGGGAACCATGGTTACATAAGTAACCCGAGACGTTTTTTGCTGTTCACACTTGGATCATACATAAATAAATAAATAAAACTGATCTATGTCGCATTTGAAGTACAACTATCACCATAGAGATCTGTCCTAGACCAATAAGCCCAAACATATCAGCAACAATACTGGCACCCCAAAACCCAGCTGAAATATGAGGAGCATAAAACAACAGTTTACTGAAGAGGATGCTTTGTCTGAAAGTTTGAGAGCTTTAATGAGTTTCTAGTATCACAATTGGCTGGTATTTAATAAAAATAAAATGTATATACCCTCATTTCTGGCAGCATCTCTTGATTTTTAGAGCAGAAATGTCTACCAGATGGTCTGTATGTGCCCACTGTCAAACCAGCCCTGCTTCAGTACACTAACATTATTTAGACCTGAACACTCAGCACCACTGTTGCCTTTAAGAAATGTTACTTTAGTAAGACCTAAAACTAAATGTAGGCAGAACACCTCACAGAGGTAAGTCTGAACTGACAAAACATTTAAGACAGAAAACACACATGTACTTCAAAAAAATAACATAAGCCCTATGGGAATTTTTACTTAATGTTTTTACAAAGTATAGAAAAAGTACATTCAATTGTGTTATGGAGGAGCTCAGTATTTTTTTTTTTTAAAACGACAGTCATGCTGGAAAATGCACAATGACCATACTTTATTAATAATTTTCAGCCTAGTGCAAATTCACAACCGATTTCACTTCCATTGCCTTGTGAAAAAGAAGTACACATTAGTATACTTTTAAAAATAGTACTTATTAAAGAATTAATGAAAAGAATTATATTTACGTGTGAACTGTTTTTTTGTAACTGTAATTAAATTAAACTGTATTATAGTTTTTAGTATTTATTTTATTAAATGTAATTTGAGTGACGAATGGAGCTCAAGCGTAGTTCAGATAGAACACGGCATGACAGCCAGCATCAGCTGACGCTCAGCTGATTGTAACTACTCCCACTGCAATTAAATAAGATACATAAGTTAATCCGTACTTGATCTGTACTTGCCTTAGTCTGTCGCACAGACATGCGCTTACCCTCCTCCATCCCCAGCTCCTCCTTATACAGGCACATTATCACTTACACTGTAAAAACAAATCTGTAAAATTTACAGTAAAAAATCGGCAGCTGTGGTTGCCTGAATTTTATTGTAAAAAATATGGTAGCAACATTTTAGGTTTATGGTTTTAACCGTAATTTCGTTAACTGATATAATGTTAATATACCAACCTATTGAAGTACTGAAATCTGTTTTGTACCTTTGTAATACACTGATAACCACCAAATGCAGGTGGTGATGAGAAAGGCACATGCTGAACCAAAGCCCATCACAAGCAGCTTTTAAATAATAATATACATCGAAGGTGCGCAGTGTCATTCACACAAACAGTAAACACCATCATGGTAACTCACATGAAACTGAAATAATGCAATAAACATTCATTTAACAACATTAGGTGTAACACACAACCCTAATATACAAAACTGATAAGAAAAAACTAAGAAGAAACATAGTTATTTCAACAAAACAACATCACATTTGAAATGTAACGCAGGGAATTCTGGGAATGTCAATTTACGGTTATTCACTGTAAATTAAATGGTATTTTTCACTTCCAAAAATGGTATACTACCGTAAAATTACATGTAATGTCCAATACAGGTTTTCACCGTATATAGTAGGGGAACTTACCATTAACCATTTAACAGGTTTTTGCTGTAGCATTTTTACAGTCTTTTACCGTTAAATTCATGGCCATTTTTTACAGTGTAGCGTCTTGTCCACAGACAATCAGCTAATCGTTGCTTAATCTTGACCAGTCTCATTTACAGACCTGTATCACCTCTGCATGGAATTTTATATCTGTTGCATTACAAATGTTGGTAATTGCATTAGGCTTTGGGGGTTTCAAACCTCAGTGTGGTTTGCTTGTGGACAGCTCAGAATCTGAACCCTTCAGAGCAAAGCCTACGGCCAAAATAATGTTCAGGACCTCTACAATAATCTTAATCAAACAGAGCGGTCCTGACTGAAATGCAATTAGATTAACTTTAGAGTGCTTTTCTTTTTTATTAAAACATAATTTAAAATGTACTTTAAATGAAAACGTTTAATTTGACATTACTAAGTGCATTTTCTAAAAGTATACTTAAGTATGTTAAGAAACAGCCATGATCAGTCATCTCTCTTTAAGTACATTTAAGTAGAATTGGCTTTATTTATATTATATTTAAAAGTACAGTTTAAAAAATACTTTGAAGTACATTACTAGTGCACTTCTTTTTCATAAGATTTATGTGACATATTTCCAAGTGAAACAGGATGTTCAAGGAAAAATAAATTGGAATGGGTTGTGAGACATTTCAAGTAATTTCAGAGGTGAAGCAAGTTATCTCATTTGATGAAAAATTATAAAAACTTTTTTTTATTAATTGAAATAATGTGCACTCATGAATCTTTCACAATAAGAATAATAGGGTCCATTTTGATTTCATGTTAACTTCTGGAGTTTGTACAAGAGGACTGCAATGCATTGACCAAACACTTTTTGTGCACTTGCATGGTTCCGTTTTCTCCATTCTCGCTCTTCCTAACCCACTGCACTCAAATCTATTCTTTATATTAAATATTAAAGAGAGAGAGAGAGGTAGGAAAGAAATATAGTTGTTTTCTGTCTCAAACTGAACTTTAACAGAAAAAACTCTGGTGCGGAGCAGAAAATAGCATGAACGTTGACATTAATGCATCTCTTGTCCATCTCAATCCCTTCCTTCCTGTTTCACAGGATGTTCCCATTTAAACTCAGATAACCTGGGCTCCCCGATACACTCTAACACACATACGTCTTTGCACTCTTTCAAGCTTCTGTCTGGCCACTGGAACATTCTAGTTTTCCAGGGCACAGAGAAAGTGTGGAAGATCCAGGAAGACAAATACATTTATCTTCACTGTTCAGATGGTACACATGCACTGAGCTTCATGTTGTGAGAGCAGCACTAATTAATTAGTCACACTAACAATCTGTGAGTGTGTGTGTTTGTGTATCTATGCAGATGTCTGTGCATGCATGTGTGTGCTTGAGATGAAATCAAAGCATGTTTTTGGACCGTTGCTCTCTGATAATGTTAGAGGAATATGTGACACACATTGACATTGACAGTCTATTCAGAATATTTTTTGCTTCCTTTTGAGGGATCAGAAAACTGAGGAGTAAACATATTTATTTTTGCAAAAATAACGACGTCCAAAATGATGAAAAGGAAAATATTTAAAAAATCCAGTTAAAAACAGAAAAATTCATGCCTAATTAAAAAGTTATTGAAATCTGGTTGGTATGATAATATTTTAAGTATTATTAATTAAGTATACAAAAAATCATGAACTCAAACTAGTTGTCATTGTTAGATTAGCTGATATTTTTGTGTGGTTTACAGTTTGGTCTCTCTGTAATATATTTCTGATTTAACGGTTTTAAAACTGAAATGATACATAGAATTAAATATAAATGTATAAATTTTTTGGCATTTTTGTTTTTGTTAGGGAGAAAGTGAGGGGGGTGGGATCCAGAAGGACCACAAGGCTATTGGCTCTAACATGATATTTTAGAATTAAAAATAATAATGACAAATATGCCAAATCTCATTATAAGTTTTTTCTTCTTCTTCGTGGCTTTGAATGAGAACATTTTTATTTACATATCTAAACATTTTCCCCACAAAATGTTTACCCCCAAATTAAAAAGAGAAAGGACATTTTGAAAAAAGAAAATAAAGCTATTAGGATTATCTTTTCATTGTGATTATAATTTTAAGTACACTGTCCACCCAAATTCTCACTACTGTAATGTATTCAGACATTATACTTAGTAGTTGTATTTTTTTAATTTTCATAATTTTCTCTCCTTCTGTCATATGTAGATTGTCTGATTCATTCTAGTGAATCGCTTTGTCCTCTTTCTCACATATAGCTTTGGGAGATTTGAATTATTCTAATGAATCATTTAATCCTAAATGTTGCTGTCTCTCTCATATGTAGCGCTGGAAAATTCAATTCATTCGAATGAATCATTTTGTTCTTAATGCCACTCTCTCTCATTTGTTGCAATGGAAAGTTTGATTCACTCTAATGAATCAATTCGTCCTAAACGATTTGTTCTGACGGTTCACTGTAAATGAACAGATTCCAAAAATATTCAGCAGTTCGAGTCCCTAAGCGGCATTAAATGTCTTTTTTGTAACAATATGTCTTCAACTCAGCTATATAAAGTAGGGAGTGTTTTTTCATTTATTTATTTCTAGTATAAATGTATCTTCTCAGTTTTAATATTGTAACCGGGATTGTTCGTTCAGAAACCCACACTGATATATACATTAATACACAGAATAACGGTGCACCATATTTCACAAAGATCCACCCACCTGGAGATTCTGGCCTAAGTTGTCACTGATTACAGCAGTGAGATTTTGGAGAATGTGCTTAATTATTCTGAAAATGGCACAATGTAAAAAAAAAAAAAAAAAAGGTTTTGACCTAAATATATTATCTCATTTCTTTTTTTCTGGTTTTGGAGTGAAATATAACCCTGTGATGTTCTTGACAGGTTTCATGAGATTGACTATAATGAGATCACACTGGTTACTTTGACATGAAAGCAGCCGCAGATCAGCCGTTCTGGCTTCAGCTGCAAAGTAAACATGCTCTTTCCAAATGAAACTGGAACAATCTGCCCAGGAGGCGTTTTTAAAATGCAAATCTCTTCCAGAGAATCCTCCGTCTCATATACTTGACTTGAGCGATTCAGAGCTCTTTATACTGTGACTGGCCAGAGTTGTTTTTATGTTATTCTAACGCCATCTGAACATTAGATCACAGTCTTGTTACCTTGTCAGCTCTTCCTTGATCTTGATTGGTTCCTGAGGGTAGAACTTCACCCTGAAGCACATAGTGTACGGCTGCTGACCTGAAAACAGCACAACATCAACAATCAGACGAGGAGAGAGAGACAGACTCACTTGAGGTAAATGTGAGACAGATTATGCAGAGAACTGTAAACGAGGGCATGAGGGGAGCTAAAATGATTATATTAATCCATGAGATGATGGAACCCCTCTGGTGAAGAATAAAATGAAGTCTTCAAAGATAAACGTAATGAGTCTGAGAAGTTTCGAGGTCAGAGGGAAAGATTGCTTTCATTGACGCCACAGCAGAGAATGTCTGCTTAGAAGAGTCATTTCACTCTTTGTCTACAATCTTTCTCTGCCACTTTTCTGATTGTGAATGACGTTTAACTTGTGTAAGTTTGGTCATGTTAGCAAAATTTCTGTGACACTTTGTAGGCAAAAAAGTCCATTGTCTATGTTAAATAGCATACATGTATGAAGCACAACTCACACATAAGTACTTTCAAACCAAGCAGCTTTATGTTGGTCAAAGCAACAAATCCCGTTCGCAAAATTGCACATTGCATGGATTCCTATTGAAATGCAGTGTTAATTTTAACAGCAAATTTTGAATTACTTTATGTCATAGTCTTTGTGCTAAAATGCCATTTATGCCGAGTTCACACTGCACGATTTTAGCACGATTTTTCACTCGCCGACAGGTTTTGTGAAATCGCCGACAAATGCCCGAAATCGGAGGCAAATCGGTGCTCGTTCACGCGAGTGACAATCACACAGTGTGAATTATCAAAGACTCGATCTGAGAGAATCGCCGATGCGTCGCCGACGCCCGTGAAATATTTGGCATGCTAAATATCTGGAGCTGTCGGCAATTCACAATCACGCTGTGTGAAATGAGTTCTGACTGAAAAACACATCGGCGATGACCTACAGCCAATGAGAGACCAAGATACAGGGCAGAGGGAAGTTTGGGGAGGAGTTATATGAAACATAGTTTGTGGACCAGTGTTGCCAAATCCGCGATTGACGCCGGTTGTTTTTTATGTCAGCAGGTTGAAGCGACCCCAATAAGTGATATTTAGGCCCTGGAATGTGAATTGTACCAGGAGAACCCGCCAAAAAAATGTGTAATTTATCCCCCCAACCCGATTTTTACTGGGGGACCCCCTCGAAAGCAATCGTGCAATGTGAACACAGCAACAACTGAATGCTACCCCAGATAGTTGTTCAGTTTGAAACCAACAGTGATGCGACGTCTTTGAAAATCGTGCAGTGTGAACTCAGCATTAGTTAACTAAATATCATAAGATTTTAGTCAATCTACAGTTCATTTGGCAGACTAAAATCTAACAGATTTAGTTCAATTGGTTGGTATGATAATATTTTAAGTATTATTAATTAAGTATACAAAAAATCATGAACTCAAACTAGTTGTCATTGTTAGATTAGCTGATATTTTTGTGTGGTTTACAGTTTGGTCTCTCTGTAATATATTTCTGATTTAACGGTTTTAAAACTGAATTAAACTGCATTAAACTGCATTAAACATAAATTAACCAAAACAATTCCAAGATTATTATATACTCCTGGAGAAAACCTAATAACCTGTTCATATGAACAATATTAATATTATTATTATTATTATTGAACAAGGACATTGTCTTCTTTTTAATAAAATGCCTGTAGTTATATTTATATTCTTTAGAACAAGTTTCATATGGCATCCTTCATTATTTCAAGCAGAAATATGTATTTGTATAAATTAATTAACCTTTATTAAAGCTAGTAAAGTGATTCAGTCAAGAGCAGTGAGTGATTTCCTCTTTTGTTGTTTGATTAACATTAAGGACACAGGCAGTAGCAGGAATATTAGGCTGCTGTCACTTTAAGACCTAATGCACTGATCCAATACACTGATACACCAATATTCTCCCAACTGTTAAGACATAACCGACCGTGTTTACATGAATACCTGCCAAAACAGACATTTTGACATAATTTTGTGCGTATTTGTCCGTTCAAGTGCAATAAGACATGAAAGAGAGCTCAATTCAGTACTCATACAATGTGATTTTCTGTGTGTGCTCCGGGTGCGTGATCATAGAAAACCGTATCGAATTTGTCTGAGTAGGAGCTACATTTGAATTTGAACTTACTTTGTGAAAAAGAATTTTCTATTTAGTAAGAATATGGGTAGTATGAATGAAATTCAGACATACTACATCCGCTATGTTATTACTTTCATGTAACCTAGCATCTGTTGCATCTCTTCACTGCCATTCATAAATCCTCTCCTATGGACTCATTAGATAGTAGAGTGTCCAGAATATGCACATCAGAATCCGGGTTTAGCCTACTGTTTTTCGGATACTATGAATTCAGAACATACTACTCTTTTGGCGTACTGTTTTTCACATACTATATAGTAGGGAAGTATTCAATTTCAGACGCAGCATAAATGTAGCAGTTTAAAACTCACTTCCACGATACTAGGGTGATATGGGTGGTTGCCAGAGCATTGCTATGCAGTTGTTAGAGTTGCTGGTTGGTTGCTAGGTTGTCGATGATATTTCTGTCATGACTCCCGAAGAGTTTAGCATGGTAATGTACATGACAATGTTAATGTGTTTGGTCTTGGTGGAATAGATCTGCTACATTGTTGCTACGGCAGAGCAAGTACCGAGACTTGCTACTGCCAATACATTCACAGACATGCTGCTGTGAGCATGTAGGAAATGCTGCTGCTGCACATCTAACATACATGAAATCACCCCGTAGCAAATCTATACAAGTGGAGCTGGGGAAGGTGGAGGGTTTCTGTAACTGCTACAGCAAGCACTAGCCCAGTATTTGAATGTTTGAGCAGCAAGCTCATTGGCTGCTGATGCAAAAGAATCCAATTAGCTGCGCCATGTGAATAATGATGTGATTATATCAGATTGAATTAGAACCTATCGGCCTGCGCCATCTAGAGTTTCTTTACAGAACTTTGCATTTTTGTCTCTAGATATAACTCCCTCCTTTAGCAAGACTATGTTCATGATCTCCTCAACTTTTGAGCTGTGGTGCAACATTTCCAGTTCCCATTGCATATTCCCTACCATATCTGTGAGCTTCAAGGAGGAAAAGCCCAAAATTCTAAGTACAAAATGTTTTAAATTGTGCTACAATGAAAATGAAAAGAGTGACACTACATTCACAACTTCTACCGATACATCAGAATCTGCCAGCTTGAAGGCAAGAACTAAATAAATAACTTACATTTCATCTGTTTCACGACTGGTTTGCTCGGGTCCAACCAATGCTGTAAAACAATAACAAGAGATGGAAATTATTGACTGCTGTGTACTGACAGCTAAAGATGCAATTCAGCATTTTTTATGGTAAGCACTTTGGACAAGCATTCCCACTGATGATCCCTCCCTTTTTTCTATAAAAGACATTAAAATTACAACATAAATTACTGGAAATAATTAAATGCGGTGTTGCTGGGAGAATTTCTGCTCGACTGAAGAAACATTGTCGTACATACAGTAGGGTAAAACCCCTTGGTCAGTTGTCATGGTAACTTTGTTCAGAATCAGAATAAGGATGAAATATCTACCATGGTGACAGTGTAGAAACAAGTGTGTTTAAGTGTTATTTGTGAGGTTCTATTTCTATTTCAAATCAATTATGTTCTTTTGAATTTTCTGTTCATCAAAAATCTTGAAATCACAGTTTCTACAAGCAGCACAACTGTTTTCAACATTGCTAATAATTAGAAATGTTTCTTGAGCAGCAAATCAGCATATTAGTATGATTTCTGAAGGATCATGTGACACTGAAGACTGGAGTAATGATGCTGTAAATTCAGCTTTGATCACAGGAATAAATGACATTTTAACATATATTCAAACAGAAAACAGCTATTTTAAATTGCAATAATATTTCACAATATTACAGTTTTTCTATATTTTTGATAATGCAAATAAATGTAATTTTGATGAGAATAAGAACAGTAGCGTACTTGCTACTCAAGAGACAGGATTTAAAATTATTCACAAATTGTATGTGTATTTAAGTTTAATTGTGCAGTTATTAATTATTGTAAAAATGCTGCATTTTATTTACAGATGTCTCTTTGATATTGTCATACCAAATGCAATGATATTCATTTTAAGTCTGGTTTAAGTGCTTAAACAGTATATCTGTTGAAGTTACATAAACTTTCAGGTCAGTATTACTGAATATTGAAGCCAAAAGAAATTAGAGTTGTGAATGTTACCCTTTGTTTCTCTGGGTCCACATATCTGATGCCAAAGTAATCTTTCTCCAGCAGGCTGTACTGATTACACACGTGATCCAAGAGAAACTGCCCTTTAGTGTCTCTCTGGAGAGGACAGAAAAATCAAATGAACACAAATCAAAGCCATAATCAAATTCAACTTTTTTACCTTTTTTGTAAGTCATTACATCAGATATTTAGTATCAAATTAACTAGCGAGACAGTTCTCATGAACATATCATCATATTTACTGTTGTCTGTATAAATTCATCAAGTCAAAACAGTGACAAAATACAATAATATAGGGAAAAAATATGACTGTCAATATTTTTTAATATTGGCAAATTTATTTATCTTTTTATTGTGCTATATTCACTCACACTCAAAAACAACCATGCAGTGTAACGTTTTATTGAACAGGTTCTTTTAAAGACTCGCACGTTATCAGTCATCAGTCTGACAAATCCTTTACTGTTCTTAATATTTGTGAAACTTAATTCAGTACCATTACTAACTGGTTGTTCATATGAAAATGTGTAAATGGAAATACATTTACAGTTTTTTTTTTATAAATAGTATTTGAATTTGAATTTAAAAAATGCAAACATTCAATTCAATTAAATCTTGAAAACATAAAAAAAAAATCTATAATTTGTAATGTATGTTAAGGTCCTGCAGGGGTGGACAGCCTTGCTGCAAACACTGGTGCACAGTGAGTGATGATGGCTTTATGGTCTGATACAGGACAGTGTCTCTGCTCCACTGAGCAGCTCTGATGACCATCAGTTTTGACTTTGCTGTTATTACATGTGACGCAGGGTGCTATAACACACTCCTGATGAGTGAAATACATCTCCCTGAGTGCAAGGTCTCAGTACCACCACAGAGTGACTCTATGGGCTGGACGTTCTGCTCTAACAGTACATTATGTGAAGAAAAACATCAACATAATTTTCTTAAAGCTTCAGTCTCTAAATATTAATGACTACAAAACAAACACGTCTCTTTATGCACATTTTTAATGTGAAATGTAGATCAAGCTCTACATTGGACAGAATTAGGAAGAGATTTCTCATATCATTACATGTCTCTTCTCTTACAATGATAGAAAGAACTTGATTTTTTAATAGAAAGAATTTGATTATAAATCTGCATTAGTTATTAGTTTGTTGCCACAATTCTAGGGTGTTATGTGTGGTTTCTAGAGTGTTGCTATATGGTTGCTAAAGTGTTCTGAGAGTAATAATCACTCAGAACACTTTAGTAACTGCATAACAACACCCTAGAAACCACACATAACACCCTAGAATTGTGGCACCACACCAACAATCACTCAGAATACCTTAGCAACCACACAGCAACACCCTAGACACCATTAATAATACCCTACAATAGTGACCTGTGATTGTTGGTGTGTTGCTATTCGATTGTTAAGGTGTTGCTATGCGGGTGCTAAGGTGTTCTGAATGATTGTTGGTGTGTTGCCACTATTGTAGTGTGTTATTTCTGGTTTCTAGGGTGTTGCTATGCAGTTGCTAAGGTGTTCTGAGTGATTGTTGGTGTGTTGCGACTACTGTACTGTAGTTTGTTGTATATAGGAAGGATTGGTCAATGTTAAAGGCTTGGGGGTATGGTTACCAGAGCCGATCCTCCCTATACGCAAAGTACGCAAGCTGTGTAGGGCCCCCGTAACACCATGGGCCAACCCCTGCTCTCAAAGATTAATTAATTTTAGTTTTGTTTTTGAATTTGGCCAGCGGTTATGAAAACTGCTTATGTCATTTCTTTTAATGCGGTACGCTGTCGCCCTTTCTACGTAAAAATCAGTCAAATCATGTAATGTGAATGTCATAGTGTCTTACTCGAGACAAAAAAAAATGAGTTGAAAGCGTACCGAGCCGCGGAAAAGACACCGTTTCTCAAGTGGACAAAGGCGTCAAAAACCATTGTTAGCTAACTATGTTCACAAATTCCACTGGACTCTCTTGGTAACGACGGAACTTGCAACCATAGTTGCTTTTGGGAAATGCACCCCAGTTTATTTCCTGTTTCGATGAAACCCCTCCTTCCGAAATACAAAATGTGCTCTGATTGGTTAGCTGGCCCAATGTGTTGTGACTGAAAATGACACGCCCCTTACCATAACAGTGAGTTTTATCTGCTTAGCTATAAATATTAACGATGGTGTCAATTTTGCCATACCAATTCGAGGCTGATTCAGATGCTGAGAATGTTTATGAACGAAAGGATTGTACAGAACCTTTGCAAGCACAGATTTTACAGGGCGTTTCAGAGTGGGGTTTTTTATTATTTTTTATTTTTTTACAGTCTACAGTCTCCAGCACAGCTCTACCAGGCGCTGTAGTCCGAGCGAGCCGTTTGTTGTAGTTCTTGAAAAGTGTTTTCTCTTAAAGAGAATTTCTCCTTTTAGAGTGTACGTTGAGCTTTGTAACCTTGCAGATCTTTTTATGCTCAAACAGCAACATTACACACTAACTAAAGTTGAAAAAGTGACAAAGCATGATAGGACCCCTTTAACATGTTAAATTAGTGTGATTAACTTGGGGGGGGGGGGGACGCTAGAAAATGATGCAATTAAATGGATAGATCAGCCAAAAATGATAGCCCCCCATGTTATTCTAAATCTTATGAGTAGAACACAAAAGATGTTTTGAAAAATGTTCCTGTTGTTTTTATCTATACAATTAAAGTCAACGGGGTCCAAAAGATTCTAGCTCCAAAAAAGGACATGACAGCATAAAATTTAGTTTTCAAGTTTTCAAGTGCAGTATTAGTGATTTTTTTTTTAATTGTCAAAAGAGATACATTTTTTTTGTCTATTGTCAATGTCAGATGCATGACGCGCACACAATTCACACAGAAGTCACTCTCAAAGCAAGTAACTTTCCGTTGGTCACCACAGCAAATTCGCTTGTCCAGCTCATTGCAGCTCCTTCCTGATCACATAAATTCACAATTGAAATGCCTGGATTTCACCAGCAAAATTTTGCTGAATGATAGTAAAAGTGATCACACCTTTCTGAAGCAATTTGTATATGTATGTCCTGCAAAATTTAAGCAGTTATCTCAAGTCAAATCAACCGAGGCCAAACATCAAACCTCATTGGTTTTTGCATGTCACATGACAACATCATGACGTCATGGCACAAGCACCAAGCAATGCTACCATCATGTCTTTTTTAGAACTTGAACATTTTGGACCCCATTGACTTTTATTGTATGTAACTGTAAAACAGTTGAAATGTTCGTTAAATATCCAGTCCCTCCAGGATTTTGCGATTCTGCGATCGCTGAATTTATCGCAAAATCAAGCAAACGCCGCAATTTTCGCAAGAGCTCGCAAATTTCCGTAATTGCCGCAGATTTTCCGCTGATTTTGGGCTTAGACGTGTCCCGTGACGCCATCGCAACATGCATTCAGTCAAAGAAAGGTTGTTTCTCAGTTCCAAAAATGGAATGAACAGCCTTGCGTTATCATCATGACCGATTTACGAGAGCTAAATTGGACAAACGAACCAAAAGCGGAACGAATCCGCGCTACTCGTTTGGGCTACGCAGCGCAGACCGTTTATCTGCTCAGGCCAGAGCCGCGGGCTGGTCTCAATCACACGACACAGTTATACACAGCGCTGGGAGATACAGTAAAGAAAGCAGTCGAATTCACCATGGATTTAACAGTAAAACTACAGGAACAACTTGTGGCAGAAATGGTCTAATGTGTTTTTAAATGCTTCACACAATTTTTCCCAGCACTTCAAAGCTTTAAGTATTACAGAATTTTAAAGTTATATTTAATGTGATGACATTATTTGTTCATCCTTCATAGGATGCCCCCATTTATAAAGCTAAAAGTTTCATAATGTAGGAAAGCAAACACTTATTTAAAAATAAAAAAGACATTCAATTACCACTTGTAGATGGCTGCAGAGAAGTACTGATAGGCTTATTAGCCATTTCCACTCCCTAATATATATATTTTTGTATTTATTAAATTATATTTAGACATTTTGAATGACAGTAATAAAATTAATTTTATCTGCATCTCAACTACCCAGACAGCACAAGAACATCTGTAAGACGTCTGCTAAAGATCTGGGAAACATCTGCTGTGTAATCTAATAAACGTCTCGGAAACAGTTTTACATGCATTTTAATAAATGTCTATTTGACATCTGACAGGAAACATCTTAGAGACGTATTGCAGATGAGCAAACACTCTAAAAAATACATCTTGCATATGTAAATGCAGACATCAAATAGACATCTCCGAGATGTACATGTGCGATTAGGGTGAGTGCTTTTCTGTCAGGTGCTGGTGCCACCTTCTGTAGAACTTTATGGCACTGGTGCTGGTGTCCTCAAATGTTAGTCTGGAGCCCTGCAATGGTTCTCGAAGTCAGAAAGGTCATAACAATGTTAGAAGAATGTTGTCTGTGGCATATTTTCACTGCAAAACTATAAGAAATGGCGCAAATATCACCGCAAATTTTGTCATTTTAGTCCGCAAAAATCTGAAAAAAGTCCCGCGAAATCCTGGAGGGACTGAATATCTTCTTTTGGCTGCACTAATCATGGCCTCTGAGCTGTATGTAAATTTATTAATAAGGAATTTTACTACCATCTGAGATATTCAAGCTTGAAGTACCACCATGAACTGCTTCTTATTGGACATACTGTCTAAATAAAAATTAGATGCTCATTGCGTGAGATGCTAAAAAACATAGTGACGCCGATGTCACAGACATTTCACACTGCAGATTCTGAATCCATTTAACAGTGTTCTCCAGTATTGTTCTGGATCTGAACCTGATGACCTGCGCAACACTTATGGCTATAATGGGAGCAATCTAATCTTGAAACCATAGAAGCATTTCTCTGTTCATCCTCTAATCCCTGAGCAAAGGAAAGTGGATTATGCCGACAACAGGTCTGAAGTGAAACTGACCTGGTGTTGTAAGACGAAGTCTTTCTTCTGTTTTACTGTCTATATCTCATGCTCAGTACATAACTAAAGATCTAAACATATTCTGAATATCACATCTTCATTTCTTCATCAGTTCCTACATCTGTCTAGTGTTTTGAAG